ACATATGTGAGCAGAGCAAATAAGCATATCAAAAAATTTCTCTGCCCATTCACTTTGATTTTCCATATCCATTAAATGGAAGGAATTTGCATTAGCCAAGACAAAAAAGTGATATTCTGCTGGCTTAATCTCACACTTCTCTTTTTGGAGGTGAGAATGCAGGTGGCTTTGTTTTTTTTTTTCCATCCTCTTTGAACGCTCCTGAGCTCCATGTGATTCTTCTCTGTGCCAGCCTGGTGTGTGAGAGTCTAACTGACAATGGACTTCAGGTGGTGAAAGTCCTATTAGATTGCTTAGTCTAAGTTGGGGGTTTGATATATTGAGATGATATTATATAAGACTAAGTTAGAATTTTTCTCTTAAATTTTTCATTGTCTTTATCTTCTAAGCTGCAGTATAAACAAGCTTGGAAAGAAGGGAAATAGAGCCTATGTTCTCCAGAGTGACTTAGGATTTTGACTATTTGAACTGACTACCTTGAAACAGCTGTGATTTATTTTATTTTATTATTTATTTTTTTTTTCAGAGAGTGAATAGTATACAAGTGTTATTTATTTTCCTTCATTTTAGTAAAAAATGGCCAAATAGCCCAGTTACTTATTTCACCTCGATTTATCACAATGTGAACACTTTTGACCTCTGATGCACCTCAACCACCAATGAGACCTGTGGACCATGCTATGAGGCCAGCCAAAAGTTGGTGGCCTGCCTTTTTCTGGTTTCCTGAGGCTGATACTGGAGCTTACCCAGCACCTTACTTTCAGCTGTGTCTGTGCCTCTCTTGGCTGAGCAGGAGCACAACGGCTGTGAAATGTAGTTAGAATCAGGCAGAGTGATTTATGTTATGAATCATGACAAGCGTGATGAGTTCACTTTCCGTGTTATAACTTCACTTATGCGGTACAAGCACCAGCTTCCTATGATGGTGCCAGCGGCTCAGCCACGCGATGCTCTATTTTGAGATCTTACGGCTCTGTGGGCAGTGTGCTGGGCACCTGCAGCATCACCTCCTCCAGCTGAGGCACTCTGGCATTCAGCTACTGCCTCACTCACTTTTCTTTCGTGAAATTTGGATTTGGTCTCTGTCCTTTGGCAAGCACACTCTCTCCCCTGCAGGGCTGTGAAGCTGGGCCAGACTTTTGGCTGGGGCCAGTCCAGGTTCCCACTTCTCTCTCCCTGCCCTTAAAGCTAAATGCGCTGGAGGAAAATGTGCTTCTCTTAATGGACTGCTCAGACAGTGTAGTATTATTTACTTTGAGTACGTAACAGTTTGTTTCAGCTTTGAAACTCACAGATTATTTTGTTTTAATTTAATTTGACATGCTGGATTTTTTATTATTATTATTATTATTTTTCTTAACTGTCTTGCTATTTTTGGAATGCAGCTAAATTCAGTGAAGTTTCATGGCAGTGCATTTACAGACCAATTACAGGCACCTAAGAAAATAAGAAAAGGATTTCCCAGTTCAGGAGGTCTTCTCATCAAGGCATTTTCTACTACAGTACTACAGGGGAAAAACATATGGAGGAAAAATCTGATATTAATATAAACAATAATTATGCAATTATTACTTTTATGATCATATATTCTTTCTCATCTTTAGGCTGATATTGTGGATATAACAATAGATGGCAGTTTTCCGTAAAATTGAGACATCACACAGCAAAGAAAGGACTCCATTCCTAGGCTGTTGAGAATGACTACGGCAAGATCAGTGTCTATTACAGCAAACAGAAGTTGGCTTTCCTACTGCTATTCCTGCCCCAGTCAGGGAGAAGGAGGAGGGTTATAGAGCATCATAAAACACAGAGAGATTGGCCCAGTCCCTTGTTTTTTGCTGGAGGTCTCACTTACATGTAAATCTTTCCTGGATTTCCCCTGATTGCTTTATTCCATATTTTCAGTCATTTTCCCTAATGAAACAATCTAGCAGAACTAATCCAAACATCGGCTTAATTAATCAACATTTGGCAGTCTATAACTCCACGCTCCAGTCCAAATTACTTGTGACAACTTTCTTAATGTGCAACCAAAATATCTACAGGGAGTCTCTGCCTCAATCAGCTGGCTGGATAGCTTGTCTTCAATTTATTTAATATATTTTAATAAAGCTGCAATAAACCTTTTCCCCCCAGCTGCTCACAGAGCATTTTACAGCAGAAAATAATGTTATGTCATCTCTAACTCACTTTAAAACAAAGCGAAGCATATATATATATATATATATATATTATAATACAGTAGTGTCTTGCTTGGGTCATGAAAGCAAGAGAAGTTACTGAACGGAAGAACATGCAGGTGCTGGTCATAAGGAAGATACTAATACTGAGCTGCTGCAAGGTAAATGCTTGCAGGTTTGTTTAGCGCTTAATGTGACCCTGTTGTAAGACTGTAGCTAAAATCTGACTTACGTCCACCCAGTGTGCTGTTTTCTAGCAGCCTGAGAGAATGGTGGAATAAAAAAAAAAAACAACACTTTGCTGATCGGTTAGACATTCAGTTCTGCTGTCATGCTTGAGAAGAAATTGGGTCTTCTGCAGGTTTTATGACAGAAATAATTCTGTCTTCTTTTCAGTTGCAACCTCTCTTTTCAGTTCTGGTTGTGTTTTATTAAGGTGAAGACATAGTTGTCTCAGCATACGGTGTGAATTATTTGTGCTGTAAACTCTCAGGAAGATACATACCTGAGAACTGAAATTCCAGGTTAGATCCAGACCTGAATTAGATAAGTAGTTCCTCTCTTCTGAAAGGCTTCAATCCAATCACCAGGTCTTGACCTGGGGAAGACTTGATATACTGACATGAACACGATGTGTGGTCATAGCTTTCTTAGTCTGCAGAGAATGTGCAAGAGGACAAAAGATAAGAGCATATCATCCTGTGTTCTACAGCCAAAGAAGTCCAAATGTGAACTCTGAAGAAAATTTGTGTGATATCAGACAAATCACAAACACTTTCTACCCTTTATTTCCTAACTCTGTTTCATCTTAATGAGGGTTTGAATTGTTTTGTACAGTGCTGAAGGTAACGGAAATTGTTTGCATAGATTGGATGTTTGTTATTTGATTTTGAAGGTGTTATGTACGTCATTCCTATGGCTTTCTGCATTCATGTTCTATTACTTCAATTTTAGTTGGACCTCCACCTTCTTGCCCAAATTCAGGAACAGAGAGAGTTGACAACACGATCTAATTTGTCCAGACATCCAGGAACTTGATATCTTAATGAGTTCAGGTATCACTGGATCTATGAATCCAAAGATGAGCAGAGTTTTCAGAGAGAGCTGTAGCTGTAAAGCCATGTCAGCATGGCATACATGCTGGTAGAATGCTCAGCGGGCACCTCTTGCTGGAGTGCAAGAGGAGAAGCAGGAGTGTGCAAAATCCTGGTCCTTCAGGTGGCAGGGAAGTGATTATCACACTGGGTTTTATCTGAAATGATCTCAGTCCACCAAATGGAGTTATTTTTAAAAAAATCAGTAGGAGGAAATTTGGTATCATATGCCTCTGCATTGAATTCCCCAGGAGGTGTTATGTTTGGGACAGGATCTCAATGAAAACAAATTCAGTTTCTGCCCCTCAGGAAAGTCTAGTGGGAATCAGCTTGGCTCCATCTATTGATTATTCATAAAAAAGATATTGGTTAGGAAGCATGTATTCTGTCAATCTTATCATCACCCTACAATGCCAGAAGGGTTTATATTACTTCTGAGAAAGTTATTGAAAAGGGGGAAAAAGTAGTAGTGAGTTGGGTACTGACACAGAATTGTGGTTGGCTGGACATTTGAGCAAGCAATCACCCCACATTTCCATGAGCAGTGTTTGTAGCTTGTCTCTTCACTGGCTATCAACCCTGGACAAACATTTTCCATGGAAAGAGGAGATGGTCTGTGGGCTCCTCGAGTATTTTCCAAGTCCCAGTCTCATTCTACCACACTGTATACAAGTATAACTTGTCTCACTTTGTATGAGGAGTCCCCACAGGTTTCTGTTTCTGGTGCTTTGAGGTGTGTTAATCTGAGGCAATAGAAAAAATGTGCCCTTCTTACTTTGCTTTATTAGATAGCCAACCTGATTTTGTGGGGTCAACTTGTAATAAGGGTTACTACTAATAGTGAGTCAGGCTATCATGGTGATGTGATTATTCACATCTATTTGTGTGGATATCTTAAGGAGGGGTAAAAACTGTGTATGAGAGTAACTTCAGAGTCAGCAATGGTGATAACTTCTCCCAAAGAATCCTAAAGAAACTGGCCAAGGAACTAGCTGGCTCAATTACTTCAATGACTTTTTTTTTTTTTTTTCCTAACTATAAGAATATTACTAGAATTCCCAAAGTGTGGATGCTTATTAATGCTGTCCCAGTGTTCACAAAGGGCAAGTGTGATAGCTAAGATAAGCGTAGAGCAATTAGCCTGATAAGGTTCCTTGTTAAAAAAAATGAAGAAATTGATACAAGAGTCAGTTGATACAAGATTAAGTGTGGTAATAGAATTAATACTAGTCGATATTCTTTTTCATGGAAAATAGATCTTGTCAAGGAAACCTAATTTCATTTTTGATGTGATTATAAGTTTGGTCGATGAAAGAAATTGCACAGGCATAATAGACTTTTGTGTGGCATTTGACTCAGTACCACATGAAATTCTTTTAACAAAAAGTGCTATGCAATATCATAAAGTGAACATTGAAGAGATGAAAGCTGGCTGTCTGACAATTTTTAATGCTAGCTATCAGTAAGAAAACATCAATGAGTGAGGGTGTTTCTAAATGGAATACCAGAAGGTTCAGTATTAAATCCACTTCTATTCAATATTTTCATCAACCATGTGACAGTAAATAATAATAATAATAACAAAATCATAAGAGATGTACTGTTAAGTGGTAAAAATGATGGCTTGCTAGTCACACAGGGCAATCAGTTTTCACTGGATCAGCTGGGTATGTTCCCAGCCCAAAACAAAGTCAGATCTACACAGGAAGAGGCAATTCAGTCTCAGTGTGGAATTGCAAGCAGAAGCTTCGGCAGCAGGGGCTCCAGGAAGGACGTGGAAGCACTGTTGAACAGGGCAGCGCATCCCACATAAGCTGGAGCTGGTAAGCTCGTTAAGAAGCAGAAAGAGAGGTGAGGTGATTAAAGGTCATGCCTTCACGGGGAGAAGACTAGATGTGAGAGGGCACTTTGATTAACAGAGAAAAGTATTACAAGAACCAATGGCTGGAAATAGAAACCAGGCAAATTCAAATGAGAAATGAGGGACACATATAAAAGTATGGTGAATTAATCAGTGGAAAAAATTACAAAAGGAGAGATGTATTTCCTATCTTCTGCTATATTCAGATCAAGACTTGATGCCTTCCTGAAAGGTATGCTTCAGTCAAGCATGAGTTATTGGGCTTAATGCAGGGGCAAATGGTTAAAATTGAATGGCCTGTAATAGGCAAGGTCAGGTAAGCTGAGATATTGTCTTTCTGGCATTAATCTTTACAAACCTATAAATATTGGAGTTAGATACAGTAGGTGTATTTGTACATGGCTACGTGTACTATGATTTCTTAAAGCTTTCCACCTTTTAAGTGACATATGTTGGCCAGCTAGAGATCAGAAACAATAGTACACTCTGCAGATGACTGTTCACCCAACCTGAATAATGGTTTACTGATAGTGTTTGTCTGTAAGTGGTTAGAGTAGATAACACTCAAAAAGCCCGTATCATGTATTATTTCAACAGAAAATGTTGGTGGAATAATTCTGAATAATGTTTGTCCCAGAGCCTCATGATAGTTCACAAGAATAACAACAACAAAGGCTTAAACTTGCCAAAACCTTGTTTTCGTCTTTGACATCAAAGAGCTCATTCTTTCCCAGGTAGGGTAAAGCATTCTGGCAGGGAAGGTGAAACTTCACATGCTGACTGTGCTACACAAAAATATGCTTCTAAAGGCTGCTGCATATTTAGGGGCTTTTAGCACTTCTCTTTTTTTGCTTTTATCAGTGTCTTCCATTTTGCAGTGTGTAGACCAGTAAAGTTATTTGTACTGAATATAGATAATTATTCCTTATTCAGCACACTCACATGAATAATCATTGCCATAGTGAGTGCATTTTTTCAGTGTCTCAAACATTCAGTTACCTATTACAGTGCTTCCCAAACAGTGTCCTTTCTTATTTACAGAACTGAAAGGCAAAAGGTATTCAGTAGACGATTATTGCACTGATTTTGAATGGTGCCCAGCACTGGGAACTCAAGCCCATAATTAAAATGGTACTTTTAAAAAATGGTATTACTATAGCAAACAGTTCTTATTTTTTCATTTTTTTTGTTTTATTTTTCTTCTTACAGGTTTGTGAAAATAATGAATGCATTGCCCATGTTAAAACCCTTACATGCACACACAAAATGCACTTGTAGCATAGCAAACTATTTCTCTTGTGTTGCCTGTACTGAGTTTGAAAATTCAAGATGAATGTGTTTCCTTAATATTTTCTGAACTTAACAATAAAGGAGAAGCAGTACACTGCTGCTCACTGTTTCAGGATGCCACCTCCTGCTCTCCTCTAATAATACCTAAGGTCCTTGAGGGAGCATGGTCTTTAAATAGGGATCATCATTTTGTTCAGGCAGACTCCTTAGTCACTTCCTTTTTGGGTTACAGCAGGGAGAAGTGCATTTTCTTACCACTTTTCTGCCAGCTTCCTCAAAGCTGGTGTCCTTTTTGTCTAGTGCTGAATCTGCTCCATGCCTGACATCCAGCAAGTAGTCTTTCAAAGTGTGGAAAGGCTGCCTTATTGTTATTGTCCAAGGCACCTTTCCATGCACTGTAAATATAAAAGGCAATGAAAATCACCAAGTAGGAAACAAATAGGCAATTCTGATCAGTGTCATCCCTGCAGTCCCCCATTCTACCGGATCCTCTTTAGGCAATGGAAAACCACCAAATCTCAGGGATGGTGGGTGGTCTGACATACCTCAGTTATTCCGGTGTTGGGCACAGGCAGCAAGATTTATCAGCAGCACTTCTGATGTCCCAGAAAGAAGATTTGTAACTATAGCACCTCATAATCTTGTAGCACAAACAACAGTTCTCTTGCATTCTGTTTTCTTAAGTGTCTTCACAAGCTGGCAAGGCTGGAGTTAATGTGTAGGGAATGATCATGGCTTTTCAAACTTCAGGATTTGAAATGGTGTCTTTTTTTTTCTCCCTGCCGTGCTGTTATAGAGAAAAACATCTGTGCTTGCTGTAGCTATTTTCCATCCTGAGCTCTATTTGTGACTTCTGCATGTAACTTTAAGTAGAAACCACGGTGAATCATTCTCTTACTTCTTTAACCCAACCCCCTGGAGAAGAAGGGTTCTGTGAGCCATTACTGAATCCATATGCCACCCAGTCCCTTGTTGATTTTCATTTAATTGGACTGAATCTAGATTTAGAGAGCTTGCCAGTAGGATGTTTTCATTTTTATTTTTTTATTTTTTTTATTTTTTTTCTGTTGGGAGTGGGTGGAGGTTGTTTTTTTGTGTGAGTACTATCTTCCCCACTAAACTTCTTGACCAGGCTGGGCAGCCAGCCATGGTGATACCATAAATCCATCTGGAAGCTACAAGGGGAGAGGAAAGTTCCTGTCAACAGAGATGAGATTCATAAATAATCTCCTCAACCAAATACATTTAAGAGACAAAAAACAATGTGCTTCAATGTGAAATCAAGTTACAGAAAATAAAGATGTCATTGGTTAGAATGCCAGGCTACCATGGATTGTGGTAGCAGCATGCAAAATCCTTAGCAGTTTTGGTAGTCTCACACTTTCTTGGTGCATCATATAATCAGATCTGTTTATCAGAGCTCTTTTTGTCTCTACATGCTGTTCTCCATCAGATCCATCTCACAAAAAGGCAGGCTGTTCTCTGTTCCACCAGCAGCCTCTGTGTCTCAGCCCTGGTTTTTGTTTGAGAAACATATATGCCATAAGGTGTTTTAATTATGCTCATTACTATATTGCCTATATTGACTGGTTAAGTGGTATCTCACACTAGGGTGATTTGCTCATTAAGCTCAGGATACAGGCAGCAAAACAGAAGGTACCATGCTGTGGATACTAAAGTCAGGATAATTCTCCTGGGAAAGTATAATTTTTAATGCTTTCCTTTGTTTATAAAGTATTTGCAAATGATCTTACAGCTGATGGGAGGCTGACTGTAGTGGTTACACATGGGGAGGCTGGCCTGACAGACATTGCACTATTTATCTTTTCACAGTGCCAGCCTATGCACCTCATTCATCATCTGCTATGCCCACCTCTGCCCACATCTCTTTGAGGTCCGAGTGCTTCACTACAGGCATTCGCCATAGACTTTGATCCTCAGCATCATTTAGCTCTGTCAAAGTAGGAACCGTGCTGACCAACATTCTGCTTTCACCTGCTCCCCTCTATACAGCTTCTCTTCAATTTCTGATGCCCACACTTAATCTGGTCTTTATGTCAGTCAGGACACTAGTGTCTTGTCTTCTAAAGGTTTAGTATCACAAACTGTCTCTTTTTTTTTCAGAAACAGAATTTTCTATGGCAAATTAAGGTGTTTTTACTCTTCAGGTTTGGCAGCACTCCCAAAGTTGGTATGATCCTGTTCCCTTTGTCACTCTTTAACTGTCACTACAGTGTGCAGTACTCAGGGTCTTTCAGATCAATCTAATTTTTATTTATTTATTTTTTAAAAAAAGAAATCCGCAATTGAGAAATGCGCTTAGAGAAGCTTACATTTATACTGACTGGGATTAGTGGAGGAAATACATATAGAAATGCACTAAAGTCCCATTAATTCTCTTTTTATTCTGGTAGCAATCCAACTTATTGTGCATGCCCACAAATTTATGTTGTCCTTTTTTCAGACACTGCTTGTTGGAGGGAAGCACAACAAAACCCTGACCAAAAAACTACTATGCTACTGTTTTTACACCAGTAATTACTGTACAACTATTACTATTCCAGCTAATAAGTATACAGACAGAATTATTCTGAATAGGAGAAATATGAAGTAAGACATATGTTCTGTTGTGTTTTTATTGTCTTTTCTTTCCTGGAAAGCTGAGACTTCTGTACTAATGAAAGGATCACCCAGTGCCCTTGCTGATATTCCTGCCAACAGAGCCCGATTAGATCACAGACTGTTGTTGATTCCCTCACCACAGAGAAAAGAAAAGCAGATGCTTGGTTTAAATTTCAACTTATTTGGAAATCTTCAGAGGTCCCATGGTCAGGTTCTTGTAGAGATACTCACCTCAAGGCTGCCTGCTTAACAGCTGAAGGAACAGCTCTTCTACTTACCTTTCTTGCCAGTCATGTAAATTGTGCAAGACAAATTCTGTTCTGTGTTAACTCTCCAGAATGAAGTTCTGTCCTCTGTCCCCAATAAATGCCCATTTTCTTAGAGGCTTTTCACATGACTGACATAGGGTGAAGTTTGACATTATAGCTGAATATCAGTTAATAATTCTGATGATGGTACATGAGTCAGGTATTTTTCAGTGCTTTCTCTTGTAAGGATTGTCTCTGAGGTACAGGAAGGAAAAAGTACGTGAAACTTATCACTGAAAAGATTTAGTTTATGACTGTAAGCCACTGGAAACTCAGCTTTCCATGGAGGAAGTACCAGTTTGACATGTATCTTTTTCAGAACACATTCTTTTTTCATTGTTGGATAGTGTCACAGAATTTCTAGGGAGTCTATTAGGGTTTTCTTCAGACAGAAACTTCCAAAACCAGCATCGCTGACAAGAAGTTAAAGAAAGTGGAGTTTCTTTTTACAATACTTAGATTCACTCAGATAATGAACATGCACAAATATTTCCAACCAAATTAAAAAAAAAAAAAAAAAGTTTATTCAGGAAAAATGCTTGTAGGAAAGCCACAAGAACTTTGCACTTGAAATTCTCCTGCAGCCCTGACATTTTCCAGAACTCTTACAATAAAACTTGAAACTTATATTTAATGTAGAGATGAAGAGCTGGTTTGTTACACTCTTGCTTGCTGTTCCTGCCGTAATACTACATTTATCAGTTAGACGCAAATAGATACAATGCATTCTACACTAGGTCTT